GCAATCGCCCTGTTTGCTTGCAGTGGAAGATGCCAATCTACGATGATTGTCAATTTTGGACCTGCGCACTAGGTGCCTTGCGCTTGCCCTTCTTACAGGACAGCTGCAACGTGTCGCCGGTCGCCGCAAATAGAGGAATTTTGCACGGACAAGTCTAAGTGACGTCCGGCGTCCGCAAAGAAAGAGGACGTGCACCTGCTTGGTGCTCGACTGCGACGGTGCTAGACTGTTCATGGAATGAGGAAATCCTGCTACACCCTGCGGTACCCAAGATTACCATCAAACAAACCCTGATCCTCAGGAGGGATCTCTTCCAAGCATGCTCGCGCAGTGCACAGCTCGGGCAGTTCCTTTTTTGGCTTCACTGCGGCTTCAGCTCATTGAGGCCATGCTCAGTGATGCTAAACCTCAGCCGGCTGACAGTTTCGTTTAAACTAAGACCATTTTCGGTGATATTCGCACTGCTACAGTCTACAAATAATTCACCGTGACTATGTGCAGTTAAGAGGCATTAATGTCTTTTGAAAACCCTGGTCTGGTCAAACAAAAACGCATGCCGCATCATGTTAGCAGCGTCGTCTCTCTGCAAAATTCAAACGCCTTTAGAATCCTTTAGACACCTGCTCGCTCTACATTCGAGCATCTTCAAAACAAATCATCTTGATTCAAGGCACTGGTCAAAGTCTGTACGCGCACAACCTCGTATGACTTCTTAGGAGTTTTGAGGGTCCACGGGCGTTGCCTGGACGTTGATGACAAAGGACTTGTTGCTGGCAAAAAAATCCTCCTGCATCTCCTCCGGTATGCACCTGACATCCCTGCGTCACCATGTTGGTGGAGTTTCAAAGCTGTCGAGGTCAAATGTTGGCTATAGACTACTATGATGACCTATATTGTCGTTGTTTAAGGCCACCAATGAACCATAAAAAGAAAACACGTCGGACTTGACTCCCCCCGACCCACGAGAACGCCAGCCACGGCTCGGTCCCTTTCAGGGCATCGGGCGGAATGGTCAATGTCTCACAACAAGGACTCTTTTCCACCTCACGAGACGAGACACGAGACGGTCTCACGGAGACGAGTGCGGTTCAAGAGACGGAAGAGACGCCATGAAATGCTATTGCGCAGTAGTAAGTACTCTAATTGCAGTACTTCTTTCAGGCTGAAAAGCTTGGGTCCACCGATTCACAACGGACCCTGTGGCCACTGGATCCAAATGCCGAGAACATATCTGGATCATCAGCACCACAGCAAAAGCATGCAAATGCTACATCACAGGACACAGTGTCAAAGGCGCCACATCCAGATCTCGGTGCCCCGACCAGCAAGTAGCGGCGCCCAAAGGGATCCGCCTGCTCCTTACTCCCAGGGCCCCCAGGTCCTCGCGTCGATGCGAGAGATGGAGAGAGTGCCCCTCTGTTGAAGGGATCCTTTCGCAAATCGATGGAAACAAAGTCAATCAGTCAATCCACTTCAAACTATATTTGGACTCTGATTTCTTTGAGGGCCACGCCTTTCAGCGATTGCTTTGCACTTCTTGCAAAAACGGCCCAAGAATGTCTCAACTCGGATGTCAGTGGCATGTCAGGCTTGGATTCCTTGCAACAACGTCAACAAGTCTAACTCGGACCAGGTACACGGCATATCTAAAAACCTGACAAAGCTGGGTTTTGGATGACGATACTTCTCTACATGTCTCTACTGGGGAGTGGTCTGCTTCATTTTGTTCCCGAATTCATTCACCTTGGAGCATCGATCCATCGAAAGCGACGGAACACGCCGTGCAGGCCGGGCCAGTCGGTCACCCTGCACGACAAGCCCAACAAGGATCTCTGACTCCAGGGAGCTATGTTGGACCAATCTCTTTCCTTCCCCTTCCCCCGGATGCCTGGAGGGAGATGGCTAAGGACCAGCCGCCAATTCACAGAATGATGCCAGACCTGACAAATGAAGAGGAGTCTGGGACAGGCAAAACGTGGCAAAGCCGCAGAACTTGGTTCTGACCAAGGACCGTTGGAAAACATTTCGTTGAACCCTAGGGTGTGTTCGTTTGTTGGCATGCTTGTTTGACAAGAGCATGACGGTCACTCATAGCAAACAACACCACCACCATCCACTATGGAGACTTATTATTACAGTATACGTTTTTGGGGGGGCGAACAAAGCTTCCAGTTTGGACCCTCCAATCCTAGGATACTGATGATTCATAAGGCTCATAAGGTTCACTGGGTTTTGCTCGTGTTGTCGTTTCCAGAAGTGAACACACAGTGAGAACCAAGTGGGAACACCCCGTGACACCCAAATGACCAATGTCAAGAACCAACGACGCGTCTACGCGATTCTCCATCCTCCAAAGCATGCCAGCCGTGCGTGACCCAGGGTGACCCGGGCAGCTCCGGACGTTGGGTCGCCCATCACCTGATTGGTCACCACCTCGGAGAAACGCGTGACGTCAGCAGATATAGGGATTGACGAGAAATGCACCATGCGCACCACACTGGCAATGGGGAACATAGATGAACGTAGATCATCATAGATCATACAATCCAACCTTTTGACCTATTCAGTTGTGGATGTATGATTGGAGCCATTCCAAAAAATGCCGACTGGCCGACTTTGTCTGGAACAACGACCTTGGTTGGCTCTTTACGCCGTCACCTAGTCCATTTTTGTTCAGCAGCCATATATAAACATAATCTGCCAGGGGATCTCAGATCTCAGTGAGTATGCGATACAAACACCAAGGGATGCCCCCTCGTTGCCAGGTATTTGTTTTTAATATCTCAAGTGCTACAGCCCCGGAAAAGTAGGGAAGTGGGTACACAAGTCCAAAAAACCAGGTTATTCTTTTCAAAGAAACCCATTCAAAACCATGCCAGCAAACCACGGGGCAGGGCAGGGGATTGAAATCCACTTGGAATAAGATGGAATAAGCAGTCTCAAATGTAAACGACAAGTCCAAAGTACATCAGCTCTGTTACAGTATATAGTAGGCAATACGGACGATTGCGAAATGCACCACCTCACCGACCAAGGG